GCAGCCCTAGCCAAATGGGGCAGGGGCGGCTCAGCCGATCACACGACAGACACCCACCCTCTCAGCACTCAGGAGATCACAGAGGGGTGTCTGTTTTGTTGGGTGGGAGAGGTGTCTGTGATCCTGAGAGAGGCTTATCTGCCGGAGGGGGGGTCCGGTCCACCTCGGGGGCAGACCACCGACCGGCGGGGGGGTCCCCACGAACTAGGGGGGGGCGAGGGTGGGTACAAAATGATGCTGGCATCACACGTCCCCCTAGGCTCCCCCTGCTGCTTGCAACCTCCATTGGTTCCCCGACGGCACACTCGCCGCCGTAGAAAGAAGAATTTCACAAAAGTCGCTCGGCGGGGAGCTTGTCGGCGATGGCGCGGTAGACGTCGAGCGTATTGCGGCAGCGGTCGCTGAGCATGCCGAACTCGCTGGCGATCTGCGTGACGGCGAGCAGCGCCTCGTCGTTGCCCATGCCCATGAAGAGGGGCTTGCTGTCGTCGAAGGCTTGCTCGGCCTGCGTCATGGCGGCGCCTGGCTCGTGGCGTGCGAGGGCGGCGATGCGGAGGAGCGTGGTGACGCCTTGTGCCTCGGCATACAGGTCGTTGCTCTCGGGACGGCGGAAGAAGAGCTCGACGGCGGCGGCGGAGCGGTCGAGGCAGCTGCCAATGGCGTCAGCGAGCCACGTGTCGGCCTCGAGCAGAGCGCTGTCGCCTGCTGCGATGTCGGCGACGAGCTGGCTGCGAGACCCGCTGGCCCAGAAGCCGTGGAGCCGGCGGAAGATTTCGCCTCTGCGATACGCCTTCCTCCACAAGCGGTTGATGAAGGGGACGATGTCGGTCTTGACGAGCTTCGTCTTGAGCTCGTTAACCTCGGCCGCCGAAAGCGCCTTGAATGACTTGCGGCTGGCAGAGGTGGCGCCGGAGACGCTGGCGCAGTTGAGGAGCGTCCGTAGTTCATCGACGGTGACATTGGCAGGGGCGGAGCCGGCGGCATGTGGGGGCGCGGCGCCGGCACCAGGCGTAGGCGCTGGAGGCGGTGCTGGCGCGGGCGGCGGCTGTGGCGCTGCTGGTGGCATCCAGGCCTGAGACGGGTACGTGCCTGCGCCTCCGCAGAGGGGCGGGATGGCGCCGTATGCACCGGCGGGTTGCGGGTAGCAGTAGGCCTGCTGCTCCCACTGGGCAGGGTGGATGGAGCCTCCTGGCTGAGCCATGCCCTGCATGAAGGGGGGCAATGCCGGGTCCATTATGCACTGCTGCGGCATGCCGTACTGTTGCTGCGGCGAATACATAGCGGGCTGCGAGCACAGCTGGCCGGCGCTGGCGCAGAAGGGCTGGCTGAAGAAGGGCTGTGGGGCTCCACACCCGCCATGCATATGCAGTTGCTGGGCCGGCGGGACCGGCTGCATCGGCATTGCGCATTGGCTGTGCGATGCCGCACCACATTGCGATGGTGATGCGTAGGAGCCGGCGGGCGGCACGTGCCCGACGGGTGGCTCGTGCCCAGTCGTCCCTGGTGGCGGGCCGGTGGGCAGTGGCGGCAGCTGCTGCGGTGGCGGCCGCAGCACTGGTGGCGGCGGCCGCATGGCAGGCGCTGAGCCTGCGGGCGGATTGGCGTGTTGGGCTGGCGCTGGACCGCGATCAGAGCTGATACCATGTGACGGCGGAGTTGACGCCTCCGACGGTCGTAGCGGCGTGGCTGAGGGCGGCGGTGGAGGCGCCCGATAGCGCGGTGAGGATGGTCTCATGGGTCTAGCAAACCATAGACGACACCAAGAGAACGCGAGGTAAAACCCGACGGCTATGGATGGTAAAAGGCGGCGGTAAAACCCATCCACACGGGTTTCGGTGGGTTGGATGGGAGGTAGAATGTCTACCTACCGCAACTTGAGACAAAAAAGTAACTCTCGTTACACCAAGTACTAACACCGTAAATACACCGAGTGTGTCATGTACATGACCTCAATCCTCATGAGTCATGTGATGCGAGCGAGCGCTACGCCGAACAGTTCAACAGACCGCAACACAACTCAACACCACAAGCACAACAGTCTCAGTCTCTCACCTCGACCGACTGTCTCGCGACAGTGCACCGAACAACAATGGGAGGGCTGTCTGTACCAGCTCAGGCTGAGCTGTCAGTGGTGCCCGCCGCCCCCGCACGCTCAAAAGCGACGATGACGACAGCAGAACGTTGGCGCAAGCCAACTCTGCCCCACTGAGTCGGTGCCTTCGGCCGGAATCAACACAACCTGCCGCTCGCCTCGCCGCGCCACTCCCCCTCCCCTCGCCCTCTTGCTGTCTTGCTGCCGCGCTTCACCGCCCGATCCCCCCCCCCTCGTCCCCCAAGTTCCCCCCCCCCCCCCCCCCTTTTTTTTTCCAAAAA